TATGTTTCCAATTGAAATGGTTCAAGCCAACAAAAATGGCAAAATAGTACATAAAAACAAAGCAAAAGCTACTGATGAAAAAATTATTTGCCTGTGTAATATTTTTAGATTAAGGCATCTTTGCTTCACTGGGCATTTAGCACCACTTGACATTTTCCACGGAAGGAGAGGGGAGGCAACCTGTATCTTTTTGAGTCTTGAAAAAGCATCCTACCCTATTTAGGTAATCCTACAAACATTTTGGGCAATGGCACAATCAATATGGCTTCTAAACTGCTGTATGATATATTTGAATATAGGCACTACATGTGTTGACTATTCACTTGACTAATATCTTGAAACAGGTGTACACAGTTATGAGAGATATGTTAAATGCACTTCTAAACCTCAATAGGACCATACCCTGAATATATTAAGGTTGTTAGGTACTGTATCTTACAGCCAAAGTTTTTTAAATCAGAATGCATCTCTAAAATAAATAAGACATACCAGTATTTGCTATAAACAGCTTTTCGGGATAACATCTACAGATGGTTCCCGACTTAATGGTTCGACTTATGACTTTTCAACTTTATGATGGGTTTATCAGGGTATTAAATGCATTTTTGACTTAATGACATTTTGACTTATGATAACCTACAATAGGTTAATCGAGAGGTGACCACATTGTAAGTCTAGGAGTATCTGTATATGTAAATGAAGTAAAAATATATAATGTAATGTTGCCATATGTTCTCGAACTAAAAATTCTTCAAGGTGTTCTTCAAGTGTTCAAATATTAACCCAAGTGTATATTTATATATTCTGTAATAGCTTAACATCTAAGTACTTAAAAACCCAGTGACTAATGTCTTACAACAGGGGTTGACAAACTATGGCCATGGGGGCCGGCCCGGTGGCGCACTGGATAGTGCGCCGCTTGGGAAGCGCGGCGGCGCTCCCGTCCGAGGGTTCGGATCCCACGTACGGACCGGAGCGAGGCGCGGGAGCAACCCCGAGGGTTGCAGTCCCGTTGCCGGTCCCCGGTCCGGTACGGGGGCAACACTGGGGGTTGCGATCCGTTGCTGGACACGGAAAAACACAAAAGACAAAAAAAAAAAACAAAAAAAAACTATGGCCATGGACCCAAAAGTAGGCACAGCCTGTTCTCGTAAATAAAGTTTTGTTGAAATACAGCCCAAACATACTTTCTATGGCTGTTTTCATGATAAAAATTGCAGAGTTGCATAATTATGACAGAGATTCTATGACCCGCAAAGCCTAAACGTTTACTATTTGATCCTGTATAAGAAAATAGTTTTGTTGACCTGTCTTAGAATAATCAGAACCAACGATCTGACAAATTTATGTCTACTCTTAAGACTTTATCTACCCTGGAATAAGCTACTGAATATGGTGAAAGAGTCAATGAATTCTCCTCCAAAACATTAAAGTACAAACCACATGAAAACAAGCCTCTGTTAGTTCTTTTCAAAATTATAATTGTCAATCTTGACTAAAAATTAAGCTTTAAAAGCAAACATTGAATTAGTTCTCTTAATCTTTTAAAAACTGTGCTACATTAAAAGAATCAACATTCAAACTCATTGTACTTTCATTATTATTTGCATTTAGTTAACCATCAGTAAAAACCATAGTAGTTATTCCTTTACTCCTTACACTGGCATCCTAGAATCCACACACATGGAACCAGTTAACCAGTAGGGCACTGTCTATAAAAGTTTTTTTTTCCACCTGCCATGACAGAGAGTGACTTAGTAAAGTGGAGTATCCAAAATCTCTTCTAGATGTATTTAGCCTCTTTCATGGTTGATAGTCTAACAATCCCAAAGCTGCTATACCAGTCACATAAAAGAATTACACCCAAATAAGTTCTGTTGGATCTATTTGCCATTCTTAGAATAAGAGAATAATTAAATAAACAACGCTAATTGACTTCAACCAATGCAACAACGAAAACTGCCTTGAATAAGTATTTTGGGTATCAACAAAACAGTTCTTGTTTTGTTTCCATTTAATTTTAGCTATACTTCTCCTTTCTAACTTATTTTGGCATTGTAAAGGGCTAGGGTTTAGAAAGCAACACAATACTAACTGATAAAATAAGAACTAGTAAAAAAAAATAAACTAATAATTTTACTTACTATAAAAGTTATACTTAAGAACCGAAAAGTCTATCAAATGATCAGGGATTATATTCCTACATATCATTCTTAGCAGAACTGTGAGTCAATCATGCCAAAGTAATACAAAAACTGTTAAATTGTTTATTTACCAATTATTATTTTTCTCCAGTTAACAAAATAGGGGATAACACAAATTTTTAAATAAGTACAGTCAACTCTTGAATAGCTCCTGCACGGTATATCTAAGGCATGTTCCTGCCCTTAAGTGCTTAACCAAAGATGCATCAAAAGCCTGGTACCCTTGACAATACCAATGTAGTCACAGGTTGTAAACTGATGTTAACCCTAAATTAAGCATTTAACAAGGCCAACATGATGCCAAAATAATCACGATACAATTAAGTGAAAAAAGTGATTTTCTAATTACACATACCACTTTCCCCTTTGCCTTTAGTGTATCTCCTAGCTATTTTGGATTAAAAGAAAACGGGAAAATATTTAAAAGTACAATCACGTGACAACCACTTTACCACAGATCACAAGATTTTCACAGAAGTCTTATTTTCTGCTTTTTTAAAAGAAGTAAGTCAGGCTTTGATCCTATTTCTCACCTGCAGGGCATTCGCAAGACAAAGTCCTAAAGAACCTTCAAAGCTAAATAATTTTCTCAAGGCTCAGTTTTCCCATGAAGTTGATTTACGTGAGCTACCAATTTAGGTGAACAAGGGGGACAAATTATTACTAAGACTAGGACAAGCATGGGGCCTAATCTTTAAAAGGAATCCTAATGAAAAAATGGAAACCCCGCCCAGTGCCCAACTTTCTTGGCTTTTCTAGTCCCGGTTCTCTCTTCGCAACATCCAGAAAGCAGAACTTCCCCCTCGCTGCCTCTATTTGAGGCCTGGTACAGAAATTCAGACCGCTAGTTAACCAAGTACCTCCTTAAGGTAGTCTTAAGGCTCAAGCTCGCTCAGAAACAGAAGAAAGGTTTTTTTTCCTGGGTTAAAGGAGGGTTTGGCGGCCGAGTTTCTCAAGAAGCGTAGGGCCGAGAAAGAGGGAGACTCCAGAGGCTGAGCTCCATCTAGTCCCAAGAACCACCCCCGGGGAGGCTTGACTGCCCTCGGTACTTCCCTGCCTCCTCTGCTCGTGTAAGGAGAGCGGTGGGTCGGGGTCAGGTTCCCCTGAGCTACTTCCTGGTCCGAACTGACTCGCCTTCGGACACCAGAAACGCCCCCGGCCCGACTCCCTCGCCCTTTGCCCTGTCCCCTCCCCTCTCAGTGACCCACCACCACTGGTCCCCTCCCATCTAACATGGCCGCTCCACCCGGCCCACCCCCGCACAACCTAACCAATTAGGGGAACCCGCGACACCGCCTCCCCGACACCTATTGGTGTGGCTGCCTCCGTCCGCCTGCCCCATTGGACGGCAGGGCCTGCCACTCAGATCCAAGGGTTCCGCCTCCGAGCCGCCTCAAGCTGCTTTGAGAAGACATATAAACAAATCCCGGGAGGGAGGCCCCTCTTGCCCGTCGCCTCTGGGGCGGGGACGGAACGGGGAGCGGCTACCCCGAGACACCCAGCCTGGACCCCCGCCCCCACCCTCAGCCCGCACCTCCTTGTTCCCTGCCAGCCCGGCACCAACCTCCGCGGCCCCGGCCCTTCCTCACACGCCCCTCTCTCTCCTCCTCCTCCCCCGCCAGCCTCGCCTCCCCTCCCGGGCCCCTCCCACCCGCTCT